CCCCAAAACCCCAAAACCCCATAATATGGCATCTATAGTGCATTTAGTAGTTTAAGATTTATAATTAAAAATATAAACTGAATGTAAAAGAATTAAGAGCGAACTGAAATATAGTAAAAAAGAAGAATCTACTTTTCTCACTTGAATGTCTCTGTGCCATATACTTTCGATAAAATGACTATGATTAACTACTTTCTGCCAAGAGCTCATGCTAAAACAATAAGATCAGAGATTTGTTAAGATTTTATGGCTACTGAAAAAAGGATGCTAAATTGAAGTATGGTAAAGAACTGCGACTAGTTTTTTGCAAAACGTAGCTTTTTTTTAGACTTAAGAAGAATAGTATAACAAAAAAAGAAGCATTACCTAGAACAGCCACTCACTATATATAAAATGATAGATATTAAATGCCCAAAGATACTTAGCTACCACCTAAATTATGTGAGAAATAGAAAAGAATCATATTTTTATGAGGATGACATATAGATAAAGAAGCTCTATGAATAAGACACTTATAGTGATAAGTATATTCTATCAATTGGATGAAAAAAAGTATTAGAGCATTAAAATAACAAATTTCGCAAGTGGCCTTAAATTGAGCATAAGTTTTGGAGATCAGTCAGGAAATAGAAGCTTGTTATAAAAAACTTACATAAAATAGTAATGGAAGCAGGTTGGAAGTCAATGAAAAAAGATCTTTTAGGAAAGAAAACTTTAGAGAAGTATCAACTTAATAACATATTCAAGAATCAGAGAGAAGAAGCTAAGGCACTTATAAATATGGAAAAGCTAGAACGCTAATTGAGTTCTATTTAATTCTTAAAAATAGGGTTAAGTTAAACGGAATCTACTGTCAAACTAAACTTCGAGAGAATAGTTGAAGAAATTACGAGGGTTAAAACTTGGACACTAGAAGTCAGGAGATAAAAGATTGAAGAAATTAAGAATCAGCCTTTTTGGGAGAAGGTTGCAAGTAATATTTGCATATATATTCATTATATTTTTAGATCTAGGTAAAATAGACTACAAAGAATAAGTTGAATTAATGATGGAAAGATTGAAAATGATTTAGAAAAGGCAGACCGATAGGAAGTTTATTTTGGCAAAGTACAAAGACTCTTTCGTAAACTTTGATGCTAAAGCCTTGCCTCTAGTTTCAAATTTTAAAATCTTAGACATAAAAAGATTTGTAGCTCAGTATGACTACTACATGAAAAAGTTTTCCCCGATTCCTATGGAGTTTTGTCTTGGAATGAATCTAAATCTAGGTCAGATAATTAGTCGCATGATTTATGAGTATTTGGGAGAACAATTAAAAATACTACCAAAATTCAAGAAAAAGTTTGAGATAAAAAATTAAATACTTAAAAATGCTGCTAAGGTGGATTAGTACTTTCTAGATAGAAAGTTTAGAAGACTCACTCATAAGAAGATAGTATTTGATCCTAATGATGTCAGATTTCCTGTTCCCAAGGTATATTTTTACGATCTAAGTGCTGATTTCGTAAGATATCAGTACATATACTGGAAGCTTGGATTTTACTTCAAGCTAGTTATTAATGGAGAGAAATTTGAGTCTCTGATTATTAGAAAATTAAGAAAAAGGCAGTTTAAAAAGCCATCTCATATATAATTTATTGGGAAACTAAAAAGATTTGATGAAATCAAGAAACATAAAAAGTTTAAGGTTGAGTTAGCAAATATTCTTGAAATTACTGAGAAAGAAGAAGAGTTTTTTTACATCAACGACAACATTTCGAATGAAGCTATATATCTTTATGATAGAATGAAAAAGTAGTAACAGAGACCACCGATCTTTTTCCTTGATTTGATGGAAAATACTGATGAAAGTGAAATAGATAGTATATTAAACCAAAGTTAGCAAAGATCAGAAACTAGTCAAAGTGAGGAGTCAATAATAACAGCAATTTTTGGTTAATAATAGTAGTCTGGGAAATATCCAACTTTATCTGAAGCCTCATCTGATTCTTCCTTTAAAATTATGAGTAAACTGCAACCAGCTGATGTGTTTAGCATTTCAATAAGTAGGAAAAATAAGTCTAGGAAATAAAAAATCATTGAGAAATAGGAAGAAAGCGAAATAGATGACTTAACAGAGAGTTTTTCCTATTTTAATTTCGATTCAAGAAAGAGACTGGACAAAACCCGGAGACATATTAATAATTAATAAAAAAGTAAATTTTATCAACGATTTCCCTAGTAAATTAATCCTAAGAAAAGAAGCAGAGAAGATTTTGCTGATTAATATAACTCTCAATACCAATCTCATAATAATTAACCAAAGCTTAAAGATGAATAGCTTTATCAATATTTTGAAAAGCAGTAAAACCCTCAAAAGAACTAGCAATTTTCTAAATGCAATTTTAAAAAATTTAAGCCAAATGATGTTAATAACACTGATCTAGAAAATGCTATAGCATCTTAATATGTGTAATTTCCTCTGTAATAAAATAAGAGCTTCTTTGATGAATAAGTCTACCAATAGCAAAGTAACTATCACCTTGGTGATATGCTAATGAAAAAGCATGAAAATCTTTTCCCTCCACAATTAAGATAATCGCTTGGTTTGGATTATTAGCAAAGAATGAATGAGTAAAGGTAGTATTATTGGCAAAGCCCACTTAGAGATCATAGAGCAAATATAAATCAAAACTTTACGAAGCAATCAAGCTACATTAACTTATCTCAAGGCAGAAATTCGCTGTTGCCTTAGAATATAGTCTAATTACCATTATAGAGTTCTTTAGAGTTTTACAATAGATTTGGATAGCCATTGTAGTAACAAGTTCAAATGCAATATAATCCCTTCAACTCTGTTCCAAGTGATCATTACTAAAGCAAGTCGATGCTTCCTAGATATGAGAATAATGGTTAAATCAGCTATTAGCCGCAAATAAATATTACTCGCCAGTCGATCGGGTCTAATAAAATGACAATATTTCAGCCGATCTAGCAAATTAATTAAGCCTAGATAAAATAGCCAAGACCTACAGCTCATATTCTTTATAACTAGGATGAGGATTCTGAAAAGATTAATTTTCTGGGAACTGATGAGGAACTCTCAGATCAAAATCCTAATGACTAATGGTATGAAATAGTGAGAGATAAACCAACATTAACAAGAACTTAAGATGACTTTAAAAAGGAAGTAAGGAAGAAATAGAAAGAGGAGGTAAAGAAGCCTTAAGAATAAAGGCTGGGTCTCTTAAATAACAAAATACCTTTAAAAAAGTTACCCAGAGTATAACCCTTTCAAAAAAGTACTCCTTTGCATTTGTGAGTGAAAAGAATATACAATCAAAATCAGTAGAATAGCAACAAAGAAAGCAATATTGCTGATCCAGATTTCCCTGGCAAACTAAGAGCTACTTAGAAAAGAATATCTTTGGAAAATGCAGACTAGCTTCACACATTCATTTAAAATGCTAAGTAGAATGATTATTATGCAGATTGCAACTAAAGATTAGTTAAGAGTGGGAGAGTTTCCCCTATGGATAATTTTAATGCTATTGAAAGTGAGATTAAACGCAGAGATGAAGCTTTTAATAACTTCAAATAGCTAATTGATTAGTTCAAGTACAGGAATACTAAAAGTTGATGATGATGTAACGATATCGCTATTTTTATTATTTATACATAGAAAGTTAATTTATATAAAACCATTTAATAGTAATCTTTTGGGGTTTTGGGGTTTTGGGG